CCCCACCCCACTACAATTTTGGCTGGATCCGCCCTTGTATGATATGATCAGGAGTGAACAAAAAATATAAAAAAAAGTCTAAAATCCAGAATTCATCAATTTATCTGTTTTTCGGCGTCGAAAATGTTATTGTGAATATTTGATTTATAATTTGTTTGAGTGGCCTGGGTTAGTGTAGTTGCACTGTAATCTAAAGCTCATACAAACCCTAATTCCTTCTACTTTTATTTTGTAGGTTGCGTACCGTGTCTTCCAAAATGTAAGATTTTTTGAAACATTTAAGATTCCTGAGAGAAAGTTCCTCACCTATTTTTACGCACTGGAGTGTGGATATCATGATATACCATGTAAGTGGATACCAATACATATAATTTTATCAAACAGTTAAATAGCGGTGGTTTTTGCGAAATGAATCAATATAAACCCTCACATTTTATCCGTACCCTGAAACAACCTCTGGGTTGATCAAAGTCAGGGTGCGGCTAATAGATTGAACCATAAGACAACCTGTGAGCTGATCTAAGTCAGGGCATGACTAACTCACATATCGAACCCTGAAAATAACCTCTGGGCTGATCAAAGTCAGGGCACGGCTAACTCACAGATCGCAACCTGAAACAGCCTCTGGGCTGATCAAAGTCGGGGCATGGCTAACTCACAGATTGAACCCTAAAACAACCTCTGGGCTGATCTAAGTCAGAGCATGGCTAACTCACAGATTGAACCCTGAAACAACCTCTGGTCTGATCAAAGTCAGGGCACGGCTAACTCACGGGATTAAACCATGAAACAACCTCTGGGCTGATCAAAGTCAGTATAGGAGATCACACAATCTCGAATACAATTCGGAATTTATAGGTATATACGAGTGACGTTTTGAGAACTTTCAAAACATTACGAAAACATTTGTTTTTAATACACTCAACAAATTGAGCAACGTAATTGAGACTCTACAGAGTACAATTAATTCATATTTTATAGATGACAATAGCATCCACATCCGCATTGTTTAATCACATGCGGTAACCTCATCCTGAAACGCTTGAATACGAGGCCAAGTGGTAAAAATTATTTTTCCAGTCCATTAAATTATTCATTATTTATTTATAGATCACAACAGCATCCACGCATGCGACGTCTTGCAGGGAGTTTACTATCTCACAACATCAAAAATCCCCGGTTTCTGCCCTCCTGGTGGCCGCAATAACAAGCTAGACAGCGACAGTGACTGTGATTCTGACAGTGGTATCACAGGAGCGAGCGTGGATGCCATGAATATAGGCGATAAGAAAGAGGATAGCGACTACGGTGCTCTGATAGATGTTATACCATTGTTGGAGTTGTTGTCGTTATTTACAGCTGCTGCCATGCACGACTATGATCATCCCGGAAGAACGAATGCCTTCTTAGTCGGAACACTGTCAGCTCAAGTAAGTAGTAAAACTAATCTGGTCTGGGTGGAGTTGTTTATGGATCGAGTTAATGTAGCGTGCTCAACTTTCAAACCTGTACTACCGGGAAAACTAACAAAAAGATAGGGGTAAGACAAAAGAGAAAACATAAAAAAAGAAAATGCAAAACAAGGTTTCAAAGGTTCGGGGGGTTTTTTTTGTTTTTTGTTTTGTTTTGTTTTGTTTTGTTTTGTTTTGTTTGTTTGTTGTTGTTGTTTTTTTTTGTTTGTTTTGTTTTTTTGTTTTTTGTTTTKTTTTTTTTTGGGTTTTTTTTTTTCCACACATACAGAATTACAAGTTTTACATTAGACATTCAGTAAAAGAGAGGTAATGAAGGGAGAAACAGATAGAGAGAGAACAAAAATAATTTATTTTTATTAAAAGAGAGAAAACTAGATGAACTAAGAAAATGAATGAATGAAGGAGAAAGGGGAAAAAAGAAAAAAAGGAAGATAAAGCAAGAGAGGTAATGGAGGGAGAAACAGAAAGAGAGAGAGAACAAAATAAAATTCATAAAATAGGGAAAATAGATAAACTTAAACAATTAATAAATGAAGGAGAAAGGGAAGAAAAGAAAAGAAGATAAAGCAAGAGAGAAAATGGAGGAAGAAACAGAAGGAGAGAAAGAGAACCAGGATTAAAATAAAATGAATTATAAGAGACATGGAACAGGAACAAAATG